GGCCTCTGTAGAGAGGACCCCCTCCTTGTAAATATAAAGTATTTAAATATAAATGGCCTTTTCTAGGGTAAAGAAAAATACAATTTGTACAATTTAGATGAAACAAACTAGTGAAAATATCATGAGGATTATTCTACATTAAATTTCTGCCAATAGATCCCTTTCACCTAAATCTTACACACTGGACCTTTAAATGGTCCAAAATGAGAAGAGAGGTTATCAAAGCTACAGAGTACCGGCTGAACACAGTAAGACACGTTTCAGAAATCACCCTTACTGTCTAAGCACCCACATGCTGAAAGGGCACTATTTCTCACCAATCACTAATCCTCTCCAAAAGATTCAGACTAAATCATAGTGACCGAAAAACTACGTTGACTCCCCTCTATGGCTCCATATTTGCTATGGCTCCATATTTGCTGCTGCAAATTTCAGAGGTTGGTGTCATTGGGTTTCATCATAATGTGCTCTATTGCACCATTTGTCGCACTGGAGCACAGTTCTGCACACAAAATGGTTCATGTCACTTGTGCTCATTTGAACCAGTGGCTCTGTGTTGCATGTAAACAAGAGGTGAACAAGAACAAGATTAACATTACTGATAACCTCATTCATCCCACAGCATGAGGCAGCAGGGTCCTGGCGTGAAAGAGATTGAATTCAAGCTTAGCGCAGCATCTCTGCCACTGCTGCTGATCATCACCTAATGGAGATTCAAACAGTGACCAAATTCATCTTAATCAATTTGATAATGTGCCGCGAATACACACAACACAAAGATGACGTCTTTTTGCACTTGCACACAGACACATAAATGAGACAAAGACGGTGTAGCTGCTCGCAATGCCACATCTCCTGCTGAGTGTCAGCTGAGAGGGGGCAGATTTTCCTGCACTCCCTCCCTTGGAACACAGACTATTCACTAATTCATCTGCCGTTGTGATATCAGCTTCATATCCGCAGGCAGCTGGTGGCTGCCATTAGATCAAATGGAATAAACTAGAAACCACACCCTGTTTGCGTGATTCTATGGCCTTACGTCTCATAGAGGGATACATCTCAACAAACACAAACCAACAGCTTAAGTCAATCTATTTTCATTCTATTCCTCTCACAGATACAATCTCTAGATTCACAACAGGAGAGCCTAAAGCAGGCTGACCATCCTGTCACAAAAGTCCCATAAACTGCAGCACAGGACAGTGTAAATAGTTGGAACTCAAGTTATACCCAGTCATTATCTATGTTACTTTTCAACTTAAATACAATTTTTTACATGTTGTTGTAACTAACTTAATGCAAAGCAGAGATTTTGCAACTGATCGAACCCTGAGTGAACCACTTACAAAAAAAAGTACTGCGAGCACTCGCAAATGAACGTGGAAAAGACACAAATACAGAAATCATTCTTGGCAATGGGTCACTCAAACAAATATTTTTTATCCAGCCCTAGTGTCTACACACCAACAGTTCCCTCCACTTCTTTAATCCTCTGCACACACGTAGAACTTGCCGAAAGCAGGTGCAGTGTCTGAGGGAGAGCAAGTGGCTGTGCACGGCTATAGAGTTCATTGTTTCAAGTCATAAAGACTTTAAGTGGTATTTAGAGCTCCTGCAAGGCAAAGGGCTGAATAAAGCTCCTTTTCTTATGGCTCAGAGATATTCACTTGCGGTGCCTCAGGAAGCAGTACTACGAAAAACTGTGTGCTAATCCCATGATTTGTCCTACTACACTACCACCAGAGGTTAGGCTTAAAATTGTAATGTGTAAATCTGATTACAAAGTGATATTATCTCCTTATACATTTCAGAATCAGTTCAATGAGCACAGTAAAACTTATGTGATGCTTCAACATTGATTTTCACTCACAAAGCAATATGGGAATTGGCAGCCCTCGTCATCTGTATTTGCACTCTGCAGCATCTCACCATCTGACGGACAAATCTAATAATCACCTCTCGTACGGTGTCTAGTTTCTGGATCCTGTACAACGTCGCCCCAAACCAGCCACCCCCACCCTGTGACCCATTAAACTTATTATGTGTCCATTATACACATGGTGACCTCTGACCTCGCCAGCACTGTGCCGTGCTCATTAGCTCCCCCAGGACAAGAGCAGATGGACACATGGGTGAGGTTGTTGTTCTTACTCTAACTGCGTGGATGCACTCATCAGCTTCACGCAGACCTCACACTGAGAGGCTGCATTACATGTCTCTGTATTTGGGTGGAAATGTCACCTGTCACCTAAGAAAAAAACTGTTCAGGATATTATGCATAGTACAGATTGTAAAATAGCAGATGAGTATTTGAGTAATATAATAAACATCTAACCCAATTTACTCTACATGAGTACATCTCAGCCTTGTATAATTAGTGTGGGGGACCATTTTTAGGAGAGTATCCCCCGGCCCTTGTGCGGTGATTTCCACAATTTGATATTGTTGTTATTGTGTCCCTTTGTGTCAGGATAAACAAGCCAAGTTCACCTGCTTTATCATACAATTATCCAGTCTGCTAATCATGTGGCCGCGGTTCTATAACTAAAATCACGCAGATAAAGGTCAGTAGCTTGTGAATGTGATCTCAGTGACTTCGACCATGACATGATTGTTGGTTTGGGAATTTCAGAAACTGCTGATTTGCTGGGATCTTCACACACATCTGTTTGTCAATTTTCTGATTTTTGACAAAATAAAATCCAGTGAGCAGCTCTGGGAAGGAAACACTTTTTTGACGAGAAAGGTCAGAAGAGAATAGAAGGACTGGTGGGAGCTGACAGAATTGTTAATGTAACTCAGATGACCAATCTTTGTAACTGTGGTGAGTAGAAAAGCATCTCATGTCTCTGAGCCAAAGACTTCTCAGACCGGTTTCATGAACATGAAAGTGAGTTCAGTGAACGTCTGTGCCCTAAGTGAATCTAACGTCTTTGGGATGTGGTAGAACAGGAGATTGGCAGCATAAATATGCAGCTGCACAAACGATGATGTAGTCATGTCAGAACCTCGAAGGAATGTTTCCAACATCTTATGGAATCCATGCCCTGCCCAGTAAAAGTAGGGCATTCCTGATAATGTGAGAGTATATTAAAGGTGTAAGGAAACAGAAAGTGAACACTCAAGCTCTGCATTCTCAAGCTGTCAGACGTGAACTCTAGAATGTTCACACAATTAGAATTGAGAGTTTCTCCAGGGTTTGCCTTTAACATATGAACGAAGCAGCCGCATTCTCAACAACACAGAAGTCTCCAGTCAACCTCTGTAGAAACTATTCCCTCCAGGCTCCCTGGACCCTGACTTCACCCGTATACGACACTAACAACTCATAAACAAATCCTACACACCACTAGGTGACAACAACCTCTCCTGCCCTCTGGGTGTAAGTTGCTGTACTTAACATATGATCATTATAGCACATTACTGACCAGCTTCTCTTAATAAGCTCATATCCTCAATGGCTAAATACCCTCAATGTGAACCCTTGTAGTCTTAAATATCTAGGTTAAGCCTGAGGGCAAGTTCCGTGCTGCAGAGAGGATTTCACTTAAGCCTCCTTTATTTCACATTTTCCTGGTATTATTTTCCAGAGGCTGTAGCCTAATTTGCATCAGATACAGCACTGGCTAATTTGCATTCATTGTACTAATTCATTTTTCTGCTGCTTAATATTCTGTTGTTCAGATACTTCTCTCACACACGCACGGTTACATTATATTCACACGAGTCCAGGGCAAATCCTTCGGTGTCAATAGTGGCACATTTTTGCAGGATATAATATGTTGTGCAACCGCAGTAACTGAAGTAATGGGGGAATACAGTGAATATAATGAGAACATTGGATAACTTGGTCATCAATAGCGAGCAGCACACAAACGACTACGGCAGCTTTCTTAATGTTTGTTGGAGAGACATTTGAATTTAAATATGAATATATTTTTTAAATGGCATATTTTACAAACAATGGGATTTTAAAATGTGATTTCTATTCAAAGCAGAACTAATATTAGACCCTTTGGGGTATTAGAGAAAAGAGCAATGAGACGTATAGACAAGGTTGATGTAAAAGAACAGACTCTTTATCAAGTCAGTGTTTAAAATTAAAGATTTCGTTGACTTAAACAAAGGGTTATGTGTAAAGCCAGAGGTGGTTACTGCTACCTGAAAAACCAACATGAGCCGTTTTAACATTGACTGACAAGGATCATAGAAGGAAGTAGAATTTTAAAAATCCATATGCTACGTTAAGCAGTGTGTATTTCTATTTATGGAGTGTAACTTGGGAATTCTCCACAAAATGAATTAAAATGTTGCTCAAATATGATTCAACTGTTGACAAGTGATTGATTTATAATAATTATGGACTCTACACTGTACACATCATTTCTATTCCATTGTTTTTTTTATATTTCCTTCTTTGCTGCTGTAAACACAGCAAATGTCCCCACTGTGGGACTAAGACAGGATTATATGATCTTATTTAACTTTATCTCATCTTAATTGATTTGTTTTGTTGTGTGTCTTAAGAAAGGAAACCAATTTGTATTTCTGTCATTTAAAAGAAAGGGTCAGTGGATATAGGATGTTTCTCTCTGTCCATCATGGAATGTGTATAATTGCTTGTTGTGTTCTGACCTGAAACAACCAAAATGAACTTACCTCTAACTAAAATAAAGTCTCCATAGAATCAACATAAAGTCCTCACTCAGGCAAACAAGATGCTGTAATATTGGAGGTGTATTAACGAGACAGAAGAGGGAAAATAAAGATGTCGCAGTGACTGGAAGCCGCAGAGCAGACTCCCAGTGAAGTCGCTGTTAGCTGCGACTATGCTAACACGACCTGGAATTAGCCGAGGTCCCGCCGCCTCCAGCGAACAGAGGCAAGGAGCAGACACACAGAGACACAGAGACACGGTGTTTAGACACAGAGACACAGAGACATGGTGTTTAGACACAGAGACACGGTGTTTAAACTCACGAGAACAAACAGAGACTCACCGAGTGTCGAGTGGAGTGAAGGCGGAGAGTTAGCTTTAGTCCCTCATGTTAGTGACACACTGAGGAAACTACAAAGTGATCACTCACACACACACACACTCACACTCTCTGCTGCTGTCTTCCACTCCCCTCCTCTTCTTCACCCTCCTCCTCCTCCTCCTCCTCTCCGTGTAATTTGCATGTCAACAGACTGTGTCGCTGCTTTGAAAATGAGGAGGAGGAAGAAGGAGACACACATGGTCAGATGCAGTCCGTCCAACTTTCTCCTCTAATCTGATCCCCAACTTTTCCCACTTGGCCGCTCCACTCAAACGAAACCTAATGGAGCCTATCGTCCTTTACGGCAGGAGATCTGCTGCATGCACCACAGGTGTTGAGCTGACAATTATGAACGGTTCATTTGAAAAGGAAATGTTTTATTATATTTTATTATAGCATCTCAGATAGTGGACATTTCAGTAATGCACTAGTCTCTTTGCCCATGCTTTCACATTCCACAATAACTGCACACAGCATGTAACATATGAGAAATAAAGTTGACTTCTTATTCCAGCTCTGCAGCTCCTTCATTCTCATAAAGATTAACCCAAAGTATCTGAAGGAGAGGTGTCGCAGGTCTGTTCTGTGCAATCAGCACATTCCAGTAGTGCACCTTATATATATATACAGTATCTCCCTCAGGTTTTCCAACTAACTTAATTGTCGAATAAAATCATATGTGCATTTACCTTGTGTGTATTTTACTATTTCCTTTTTTGCTGCTGTAACACTGTAAATTATTTTACCTTTTGCAGTTGTACACAAAAAGCATGGTGTTTGTTTCACTCCACTACAAGGAAACAATGTAATGCATGCACCAACACATCTCAGTCAAAATACAGAGGGCAATGAGATTTGCTTTCCCCCCAAAAATGTTATACTTACATATTCTTTTTTTCTCATCATCATGTGCTATTTACAGTTTGAATGAGTATACTTTAATTCTGTAATTTTAGTGTGGAGTTCAGACTCACAACCTTAGGTTTAGTGTAATGAGGAATTTGGGCACAGCTCTTGAAAATGTCACATGCCTTCCAATACAGATTTGTACTCTCCCTGAGAAGCCATTTTAATGTGTAGTGGCTCACTAACTAGTCCTTGGGGACTCCCAGGAGCAGGTCCTTGAAAAGTGAGAAAGGGCGGCACAAGTAAATCTAGGTTTGTGAAATGCAAGATAATGAAAGCCCTTGGACAAAGGCTTTAAATATTTACAGAGATTTACAGATTCGGTGGTGGTCTCCATGACTGATGACAACAAATTATTTTTGTGTGACCACTACATGCCTGAAGTAGAAGGCACTGGTATCTGTTCTACATCCTGCTTTTCTGACAAAATACCATAATTAGCTTGAACTCACTGCTGGTCTCAACTTTTTTTAAGTGATGGAGAAATCTTATTTCATGGGCAGAAATATTTTTAAAAGGTCTAATTAAACAATGGTGACACCCGAGTAAGTCCCTGTCCTGTGACGACTCTCTGTATTTAAAGTACGGACCCCCGAGCCACGGAGACCAGTGTGGGCCCCTGTCCTGAGGAAGAAGGGTGTGTCTGCAGCAGCCTGCATGTTTCATTCCTTCTTTCTTTGTGCTCTCCTTCAACTGCTGTCAGCCTAAGACAATCGCTCCTCAAAGAATGGAAGCAGATATTGGAGTCGTGCGGAATATCTCCAGTGAAACTGTTGCTTCGAGATTCTGCCGTGACGCCCCTGCCCACGCTGACACACTTTCTTCTTCAGCTGTATAGATCATTGTCTGGTACTGTGAGTCAGTGGAATGAGAGCAGATTGAAATTGTGTTGCGCTCACCTTAGGGCTTGTTCTGATCCATCCACAAAGCAAAGAGCCAAGGCCTATAACCTGCACAATATATTTAGCAGGATTGATTTCAGCAGGAGAGGATAAAGCAGAAACTGGAGGATAAGTATATCCTACATGAAGGGAAGAGGGAAGTGTAGATTGTGAGAGCACATGAAGATTAGGATTCTGTAGCAACATTTAAAAAAAGGTCTGTTACAACAATTCAGCTCTTACTTATTACTTATTGTTATTGTCTGTGTGTTTTGTTGGCTGGAATGTGCAATAATTATAGAATTTAAACACTAATAAATGCAAAGTAAGAGTACATGCAACTCCTGCACATATCAGTGTCTCTGAGGTGTCTCTAAAATACAGTCTTATGTGGTTAATGCATCTATGAATTAGAAAGAGCCGCCCTCAGATTACAGAAATACATATGTGTGTATAAAATGTAAATATATGATACGCAAAATTAGAAAAGTAGATCGAAAAACTGCACATACAGGGATCCAAGGGTGCACTGGCCCCCAAAGTGTCCCCTGTCCTGTCAGTAGTTTTTTTAAATAAACTAGTCACTTACAAACAGTACTGACAACGAATATGACACATTTTCAAAATATATTCAATGATGTGTGGTTTTACCCCAAACTATAGAGCCAAACATATAATTTAAGGCTGTTCTGAAATGTATTTTAAAGATAATAAATAATTAATTAGACCTCTTGTTAATTCACAAGTCGTTCAAATGTTACTGTACAGCTCTCTTTTGTAAACCAGAGCAGGAAGAAAATTCACCTCCAATGAAAGGAGGAGGGGTTTGTGTTAGGAAGTGGAGAGCCTGTGAGCTGCACTCCCACAGATTTCAGAGCAAAGACCTCTGAAACCTGATCGGCGACATCTTTTTGGCCCGGCAGTCACACATAAAGCCCCGAGTCATTTGTCAGCTGATGTTCGCAGCTTTAGTTCAGTCACAGTAACCTTGATGAGGTAAATCCACCCACTTCACCGCCTCTGACCTCTGATGGTCGGCAGACATTGTTTTCAATTCTCTTGTCTCAATCTGCAGGGCAGAAATCTGACTCCACATTACTCGACAATTGTCAGGTTTACAGGCTCTTTGGTTTTGCCAGAGGAAAAAGTTTTTTGTTTTTTTGCCATTGATGGTACATCACGTCACCCTCTTTGGAATGTGATACATGGTGTGTTTACTGCTTGTCAACAACTCTCTCTAAAGCTTGAAACTGAAGGAAGACAAACAGCCATATGTCACTGTTTCATACTCTGATTGAGCAAATAGGAAGACCTCGCTAACACCGGTTGCTCCTCACTTTGCTCACAGCCTCACCTCTTCTCGCCATCGATTCCACAATCCGTTGATAAATGCTTATTTTGACTTGGATCAATTCCTCAGATTTGTCAGCTGCACATTCATGCTGCCAATCTCCTGTCGCACCACATCACACAGGTATTGATTCAAGTCTGGGGGGGGACATGAGTTCCATTAGACCAGGCTGCGTCTTCATCTGTCCAGTGTTGGTGAGTCTGTGTCTCTGCAGCCTCACATTTCTATTCTTAGCTGACATGATTGGAACCTGGAGTGGTCTCTGCTGTTGTAGAACCATCCACCACAAGGTTTAACGTGTTGTTGTTCATTCTGAGATGCTTTATTTTAACCACAATTGTAAAAAATTGTTCATCTGAGTTACTGTAACATTTCTGTCAGCTCCAACCATTCTGCTCTGACCTCTCTCATCAACACAGAACTGCTGCTCTTTGGATGTTTTTTTGTTTTTTGTTTGGTTTAAAAAACACTCTAACCAGCCCGTCTGACACCAATAATCATGTCAAAGTCACTGAGATCAAATTTTCAAATGAACCAAACCTGCGTCTGCAGGGTTTTATTCAAATCAGAGAGCCACAAGAAACATTACAACATTTTCTGCACAGATGTTTGGTGAAAAATTGCTGAATTTATAATTGTTGTTCATTAACTCAAAAAGCCTCAGTTGTCTTCACTGAGTTGTCCTTTGCAGATTTTTTACATGCCAACAGTCAAAGCAAAAACCTTTAAATACCATAGAAACCATGGGAGGGAGCAGATAATATGTCTGGGTCACTCGAAGTCAAAACAGTTAGCATTTTCTAAAGAATGGAGACTCTCTCAAAGTTCCTTTTATCCCAATGACACAGGATGAAACTCCTCACACGAAACACAGCACATTCAAATCTGATGCATTCCAAGGTTTCCCATACATGAGATGAATATAATAAGTCACAAAATTTCCGACAAAAACCTTTAACAGGGCCAGGAGCTGGAGATATGCATAAACTCCTCTATCATATGGTATATATTATTATATCATACCATATAGATCACAGTTTTCTCCTTTCTGATGTTTGATGTGACCATTAACTGAAGCTCCTGACCTGGATATGCATAGTCTATGAACTGCTGTCACATAATTGGCAATAAGGAGGTTTCTTCCACTACTAACTTTACAAACAGGGTTGATATGAGTGTTGAAATTGTGTTAAGAGCTTTAGTTATCCCTAAAGGACAAAGGCTGTATGTTTTGGTGTAAAGTGTTTTGTTAGCTTTGAGGACTTGTTGTGGTTTTAAAGCCCAGAACACTCAGGGAAGACACAAAACAGTGAGCTAAACAAGGCTTAAAATCTATGCTAGAGAAGAAGGGATCTGCAGAGATGTTTCATGATCATGATCCGTTGTTGATATAAAAACATTGATGCTATCAAAACATCTGTAGTTCAGTCTAAAAGAATGAACAATGTCCTTTATATCCACCATGACTATCTAATAAGGGCACAAAAGGAAATTAAAGTAAAACACTGGGGGCTACATTAGAATTCAATGTGAGACAAGTTTGAAAACATCTGAAAAAGAAAAATCACACAGCTGGTTTACTGGCTGCAGGGCCTCAATCGGCCACCTACTTTGCCTCTGCCCGAGGGCCAGCTCCTACCTGCATGATGAGGTTCTGTAAATCTGACAGAGCTGCATTTTCTCTTTGAGCTGTGGAATGTTCAGACGATGATTTATGGGGAAATGTGACCAGCAGATTTACTCTAGCCCTGCAGTGATTATATGTATGTCACCAAGTGTCTTTACTGCTAATTAGTTTGCGTGCAGGAAAAGACATATCCTCCTGAAACCAAAGTCCTTTTGAAAAGTTTATATTCGTGATACATTTGTAAGAAACAATGTAATTTAAAGTTCCCTGAGGCTGCAGCACAAGGAAATGAATCATTAC